TAGCAACCACAATTCTGTTTTCTGCCTTTATGAATTTGACTACTGATTAGTTTCCATAAGTGGAATTATATACTTTGTGTGTCTGGTTTATTTCACTTTGTATAATGTCTTCAAGGTTTGTCTATGTAGCATGTGTAAGAATTTCCTTCTTTTTAAGGCTGAATACTATTCTATTGAATGTGTTTACCACATTTTATTTATTTATTTATTTATTTATTTATTTATTTATTAGTTCTAATCAGTTATACATGACAGTAGAAAGCTTTTCAATTCATTGTACACAAATGGAACAGACATTTTTCCCTTCTCTGGTTGTGCACGAAGTAGAGTCACACCATTTGTACAATCATATATGTATCCAGGGTAATAATGTTCATCTCATTCCACTGTCTTTCCTACCCCTTTGCCCCTTCCAMCCTCCCCTTTGCCCCATTCAAAGTTCTTCCAATCATCCTGTGCCTCCCGCCCCCTACATGGATTAGCATCCATTTATCAGAGAAAACATTTGGCCCCTGTTTTTTGAGATTTGTTTATTTTATTTAGCATGATATGGGAGATCCCATCTTTAAAAACTATGAAAAGGACTAGGTATGTAGTTCAATGAGAGAGATCAAACTCCAGCACTGAAAGAAAGAAAGAAAAAGGAAGACCAGTAGTACTTTTCAAAGGTGGTGTCCAGAGAGGACAGAAAGGGTCAATACCCTTTCTTGTTCACTCCCAATTCTACTCCACCTTGCAACAGGGCCTCAAACACAGCTTATTCTCACTTTGGAAAAATATTATTTGCTGTTTTAGCAAAGCTTTGATACACACTCTTTTTCTTTTTCTTTTCCTTTTTAAATTTATAATGGAGATTGTTCACTATGTCACATTAGCAGGAAAGCCTTGCATAAAATCATAGAAATAGTTGAAGTTCTCTTAAAGATAAATGATAATAACATTGTGATCAGGCTGAAAAACCAAGCAGGTTCTCTTATCATTCAAAAGCTGTTTTTTCCCCTATCTCCTCAAGAGCTTTTATTATTCTTTGTTTTCATTTGGAGTCTAAAGCATTGTTTTCTTTCTCTTTCTTCCATGAGAAGGGATAATCATAAGGCATGATCATACAGCTTAGATAATGTTAGTAAATAAAAGTTTTAAAAAAATATTGAGCAATATTCTCCCAGCATGCAAATCCCAGTTTGGGGAAAAAAATTAGGGTCTTTTGGAAGCTGCCTTAACTCTTTGGGGTCTCCATGGTACCATTTGGTAAATGATTGGCTCTGGGCATCAAACAGCACYCTGGTGACCTGAAAGAGTTAAAGCAGTCTCCAGAAGTACCCATTGTGGTCCCAGGAAGGAGCCTGAGCCTTGGGAGATCTGGCTCACAGTACAATTACTGTTCAACTCACAGTGGCCCAATTTGCTTTATTGTAGAGTGCCTCCTGGAGTCCCATTGCTCCAGAGACAATATAGATGCTTCTGAGTCAACTGCTTGCAAATTGGTCTTTGAAGGGTTTGCAAGTGCAGGGAGGAGGCACAGGAATTTGTTAGAAAGACATCATAATAGAGTTTGTGGTCCTGGAGAAGGAAATCATCTTACCTCAGAAGTTCCAAGCCCAAAAGACTGACTTTTACTTTTCAGTGATTAACATGTCTGAGTGACCACTGGTTTTTAGGGGTTAGTAACAGTTCACACATGTGCGTATGCTACTTAGGCATGTTCTACATGTATGAAGTAATTCACTTCTTGATGCTGAGCCTTTGTTCCTAATCTACAGCTCAGCCTGCAAGGTGRGCATAATAATAGTATAAACCTCAGTGCTTTGGTGTGAGGATTAGTAAAAATAATGYGTATAAGTGCTTGGCCCAGTGTTTGGCACAAGACAAACACACCATACATTTGGCCATTGTTATGGTGTATTGTGGGTTTTGTAATTGTTTTCTTTATTTATTAAACATTTGTTGGAAGTCAATTATGTCCAACAGTGTTTAACAATAACAAAGCATTCTTGTTTTAGCAAAGTTCCAAAGAGCTGCTTTTCTTTTTCATTTATAAAGGGAAGGGTCAACCATGTTCATTCATAGGGTAAAAAACAAAAGAAAAAATTTAGACCCATACAAAATTTCACTCAAAACATAACACATGAATACTTGCCACCTAGTTTATAAGAAATTAAACATTCCAGATAAACTAAAGCCCCTGTGTACACATTCTTAAGCCCATTATTGGAGAGATAACCCCCTATCTTGGATTTGGGATATATATCATTCCCAGCACAGATTCATATTTCTATTAGATGCTATCATTGGATATCCATAAGTAATATACAGTACAATCTTAAAGGTTTTTGTAGATTCATACTGTCATGTAATTTTACCATTTGCTTTTTTCACTTGACATCTTTGGAGTTTATCCATGTTGATACATTTGGCTGTATATTTTTGGTACTATTTAGTATTCTTTTATATTAATATATCACAAATTGTCTATGGTCCTCATGATGCATATTAAAACTTTCCCCAGTTTTTCTTAATTGCAAATGTGGTCACACAGCTATTTCTTGTCCAGCTCATATACCAGCATTTCTCTAGGTAATATAGCTAGCTGTGTGCTCCTTAAAATTTATTCATTTGGGCTAAAAACATATCCAAAAGGGGTTTCCAAAGTTATACTTCTTCAGTAGAGTGTGGGGCCCTCATGTCCTCCTGTATTTGGTATTGTCAGACTTTTCACTTTTACCCACTTGAAAAGTACAAAATATTTCAAGGAGGTTTAAGTTGCATTTTTCTGATCATTCATAATTTACTATTTATTTTATCTTTTATAAAAATTAGGCTCTTTTTTTTTCTTATCAATTTACAGGAGTCTAGATTTCAATCTTTGTCAGTTAGATGCATTGCAAATCTATGCCTTGTATCTTTACATTATTTATGTATGGTCTTTTAAGGGAGACAAGATTTTTAAAGGCTTTTTAATACAAACTTAATGTCACTTAATGTCACAACAAGAAAAACATTATTTCCCTTTGGGACATTGATATTCTCCTTACCTTTTCTAGACAGATGAGCTCAGCTTAGAAAATACCCAGTGAGGTTTCTGGGCAGGAATTAGTTGACTATATGGGAGGTGAGTGGGGACGAGGGGATAACAGCCCATGGAAATTGCATTTCATGGAGGCAGCTGGTTCCAAGAATGTGTGCAGCAGCCTTCCCTCCTGGTAGGAACTAGAGATTGGGAATCACCTGGAAGTCAGGTCCTATATGGCCTCAAGGCCGTCCTCCCTGACTGAGAAAGCCTCCTCATCCCGGACTAGCATGCTCAGCCAGTGACAACGTGATTGAACAAGGAGAAATGGTATCTGCACAAAGACTCTGATGAAAAGCAGAAAAGGGGCAGGGTCACTATAGAAATTGGGAAGGAATTCTGTAAAGGGTCTGCTATTCCAACCAGAATTTTAAAAGTTGTGACTTTCATTAATAGTATCCTAACAAAAAAGGGAAAGAGTCAACCAGATGAGATAGAAATAGAGAAGGACAGATAAGAAACAAATAAATAAAAAAGAAGAGATTAACAACAACAATTTGGGACTGAGGACCAAATTCCTAAACRTGGAACTAAAGCCAGAAGATTAAAGAATAGAAAGAAAAATTTGATTTCCTAAGAATTTCTGTACAACGAAACCAAATAACACCAAATTAAAAAAATGACAAACTTGAAATAATTGCAGTAGTATTATAGACCAAAAGTTAACATTTATTATTGATATATATATCTTTTTAAATAAATATGAAATTAGTGAAAACCCTAAAGGAATAATAGGCTAAGAATAAAAGCAGGCAATTCAAGAAGCAGGAGAAGCATTTGTTCATTCTAGATCAAGATTGCAACTGAGATTTTGATGAGATTTTTCATTAAAGATGAAAAAGCATGAGAATGCACAACATGGATATGGGTATAGAAACCCAGTTCTCTCTCTTGGAGCCAGTGGAATCTAATATGGTAACCATTGTCTGGAGAATGAGTTTGTAATATGTACTAAAGCAAAAAAAAAAAAAAGTACACTCTTTAATTTATAATCCCACTTGTAGAATCAGTCTAAAGGAAATAACTGAATGATTTATACTTAGATATCTGTGTAAGATTCAAAAATTATATGCTGTGATTTGGACATGGTTTGAGTGTATCCCTCAAGGGTTCACATGCTGGAAGCTTGGCCCAGTGTGGTGACATCAAGATGATGGAACCTGTAGGAGATGAGACCCACGGAAAGTAATTAGGCCATGGGGACATCACTCTCGCAGGGATTAATGCTGATCTCCCAGAGCGAGTTCTTACCAGAGCACATCATTTAAAGCAAGGAACCTTATATTCTTGTCCCCTTCTAAATGTGGTTGTTTCTCTGCTTCTCTACCATGTTGTGACAGAATTAAGGGGCCCTCATCAGAGGTCAAACCAATGGGGCCACCTGATCTTGGACTTTCAGCTTCCAAAATCATGGACTGAATAAACCTCTTTTCTATATGAAGTCCTCAGCTTTAGGTATTTGTTATAGCAACAKAAAAGGGACTAAGACACAGGATAAGAGAATCAGTGAGACTTAGTAATTGACTGGATGAGGGAGGAGGTAGAGGGAGACCTGGTGAATCATTATTGGGATTTCCACTGGGACAACTGGGCACTTGGCTGGGCCATTTCTTTATAGAAGGCACATCAGGTTTTGGGGGATGGTGATGGATTGGGGTCTATGTGCTGGACATTTCAAAAGTATGCATTCAAGGAAGGTGTCCAGAGGCAATGGGATGTGAGGGTCTGGAGCTCAGTAGGAAGCTAAAGAATTTGGAGCATGGTGTGGGATCCTGGCTAAAGCTGTGAGGGTGGTGGTTGGGTAGCCCTTTGGAGGCACCTGGGAAAGGGAGTGGAGTCATTGGCTTGTACTGATCAGAAGGAGGCCAGGTGGTTCTCATGCCTTGCTTGGAGTGCTGATAGCTCTGACTGAATCCTATTTGTTGCACGTCAGGCCTGGGAACACTCTGTGGGCATAATCTGCTTTCCCAGTCTCCAAAGGCTAGCAGAAGATGTTTCTGACCAGCTTGCCCAAGAAATACAGAAGGCCCTTGCTGGGAAACCTGCAGGTAAGAGAACACTATGGAGAGCTAAGCTGCCTTGAAGAACCTGCCCAGGGCCTCTCTAAGCCCCTTTGCTTTGTCCTGGAGAAAAGCAGTGTTTGCCAAAGGGCATGATGCTTATTCTGCCCCTGAGTGCCCTAGAGAGAGACAGAGGGAAAAGCAGGGAAKAGAGAAGAGGATGTTGGCAGGAGGGAATTCCAGGCAGAAGGATTTGGGCACCAATTTCACAGATTCTTGTAATGTAAGGCACTATGGGATGTAGGACCTGGGGTTGAGCACCTGGATTTTGGGGAATCCAATAACCAAGGAGCTTGTTCCTACTCACTGGCAACAGGGAGCCATTGATGGTTGTTAAGCAGGCAGGGTGGTGTGATCAATGGTGTCCTTCTAGGAAAATAATCTGGCAGACTATACATGTTTGGTATAGATTCAGGTGGCTTTGGGGGGGGTGTGGGCAGGAGGCTAGAGTCTTCTGCAGGAGTTCAGGCACATCTCATGGGGAGGAGGCCCTGGATGGAGGGAAGGTGGTCAGGCAGTCTGCTACAATGCTCAGCTGGTGACACTTTCTTCCAGAACAAGCACGAGTGGTGGCGGGGCAGTTGCTGCGGTGCAAGGGGGACGTGGATCGGGATGGCTACCTGCTCTTGAAGTCGGTGTATGTGCTCACAGGAACAGACTCGGTAAGTTCCAGGCTCTTGGGCAGGAGGAAGTCAGGCACAGGGTATTGGCACATCCCCACAGTGGCTTCCTTTTTTGCAAAACGGACTGTTTCTCYTGTCTTCCCTTCTTTTTACCAAACATGGACTTTGGGGTCTGAAATTCGGGTTTGAATGTTTCCTTTTCAGTTGATAAAATGTGTGTAGCCATGGACAAATGACTTTAACTTGCTGCTACTTGGTTTTGTTTCTAATTTTAGAAGTGGGAATAATCATGCATTTCTTCTACGGTTAGTGTGGTTAATGACTGATCTTTATTGACTGTAATCCTACATGACTATTACTTGATGAAGGCTGGGTGTGTCCCATGCACACTACCAATTAATCCTCTCAAGGAGCTTGAGTCAGATTATGGAGATACTAGGTAGCTGTGAGGAAAAAGGCTTGAGTCAGATTATGGAGATACTAGGGTAGCTGTGAGAAAAAGGCTTACCTGTGTGTACCTTCAATCTACCTGACCCCAGAGTCCCTGCTCTGAGCCATGATTCTTGATTGCTTCCTGATAAACCCAGCCAGAACATGATACACCTGTAGGCACCTGGGCTGTGTGTGCCCTAACCTAACTTGGCTCGTGTGTTCCCACTGTGGGATTCGGATCCTGGAACTTCTTCCCTGAGTGGATCTTGGCTGTGCTCATGTCTTCCCTCTGTGGGATTCGGACTCATGTCTTCCCTGAGTGACTTGTGGATGGCTATTGAGCTCTTTAGTGAAAACTGTCCCTGGTAGCTATGACCATTATCAGAAATGGTCAGAGGGCCTGCATGGGCCTGTAGTGGGAGTGGATGTCCTGTGCTGGGAAAATTATGGAATGAGATGGGGTGGCTGCTGCCCTCAATGCAAGGGGGACACAGTCACTGGGTAGCATTTGGATCTAAATATACAGGTGACAACCCTGTGTGCAGTCACTGGGATGGGGGCTAGAGCCTGATCTCTGAGGCTAACTAGAGGGGAGGACTTTGTCTGTTCCTCAGTATAAATTTTTTTGGGGGGTGGGTACTGGGGATTGAACCCAGGGACACTCAACCACTGAGCCACATCCCCAACCCTATTTTGTATTTTGTTTAGAGACAGGGTCTCACTGAGTTGCTTAGTACCTTGCCTTTGCCAAGGCTGGCTTTGAACTCACGATCCTCTGCCTCARTCTCCAGAGCTGCTGGGATTTTAGGCATGCACCGTCATGCCTGGCTAGTATAAACTTCTCGTATCACCTTCAGGTACAGTGGTCTGAAATCCAGAGAAGGGTTTTTTTTATTTTGCCCCTGGGGAAGGCCTCTGTAGACGAGTGGTGATAGAGTCAACGGGCTAGCTGTCCACCATGAGCAGTTGGTCCAGAGCAGTTGGTCCAAAGCAGTAAGAGAAGTATGAACTGGCTGTCAGCCTGTGCAGCCTGGAGAGACCAGAGACAGCCACCCCAGGGGGCAGAGCCAACCAAGTGTCACAAAGAGATAAGGGAAGACATTACTTGGCACTGGAAACTTTGAAGGGGGAGATTAGGCTCAGCAGCCTGCATCAGATTCCAGATTCTGGCTAGACTGTGTACCTTTTCTTTCTCTTTCTGTAACTCACCCACTGTATTGGTCAAGTTAGTCCACTAAATGGGACATTTGCAGACAGCATCCTATAGGTTGCCCCACGTGTCACATGTGCTTACACATACTCCCTGAGGGGAGCTGCAGGCAGAGCCCAAGGAAGAAAGGCCCCAGGAAACTCCATCAGATTGGTTTCCATCTTGGCTAATCTCCTGTCCTCCTGGCTTCTATGCGGCTGCCTGGGCTGCTTCCTGGTGCTGTGGTTGTCTGGTTGTCAGTCATCTATTGTGCTACTTTAGGTCTTGGTGGAGTCTGGGATCTGGGTGAGGGATGGGAAGGCCTGCTCAGGTCCTTACTGCTGGTGTGTGTGCACTTGCTATCAACTTCCCCTCCTTCCTGACCAGAAGGCTACTGCCCACAACCAGCAGTTATGTGTGGCTAGAAAGCCATTGTTTCTAATTCTAAGTCCCTCCCCCGACCCCATCTCTTTCCTCCCTTCCTCCACATCTTGTAAAAGGGCTAACATTTATTGAACACATAGTAAATGCTATATAAACTTCACCTTCACAGCTACTTAGGTGGGCCCATGATTTCACATTTGAGAACACGGCATCCAGAGAGAAGTGACTTTCCCATGGACCCCACAGATACAGCAGGCCTGAAACAGGTCTGAGCTGTGGATCTGGGGTCACACGTGGTCTTCTCTTGCAGGAGACGCTGGGCAGAGTGGCCGAGTCTGGGCTTCCAGCCCTCCTCCTCCAGTGCCTGTACCTCTTCTTCATCTTTCCTCTGGAAAAGGATGAGAATGATGTTCAAGGTCAGAGGATGTTTGTGCAGGTGAGTGACAGCAGGGACCAAACATGCCTAGGTCATGACCTCTCTTTTGGAATCAGACTCTGAGATGCTTCTGGGAAATACTTTTGTCAGTCTCAGCCTTAGTTCCCAAGCTCCTCTGTCATCCCAAAGGCCCAGATCATCCCTCTTCCCCTTTGCTCTGCAATGCCTGTGTAGCTGAAAAAATGGTTTTCTCTTTTACTGTCCCTTATAGCATCCCTGTATCAACATCCCCCTCCCCTGTGTTCTCCCAGAAATGTGGGCTCCTCCCCTTTCTCTGATCACTTCCCTTCTCTCCCCAGTTGCTCCTCTGGTCTGCATTCTGGGGTTCTGAATGAGGGTGCTCCCTGGAACCTGCAGCCTGTTTGATCTAGCACCTTTCTCTCTGATAACTAGCATGCTCAGTCCAACTCACACATCAGCAGCCAACATTTTCTAAGTATAGTCATAGGCCACCTGACAATGGAGACACATTCTAAGAAATAAGTGGTTAGGGAATTTCATAATTGTGCCAACATTGTGGAGTGCACTTACATAAGCCTAGATGGCATAGGTTAGGCACTCCGTGTGACATCTTAATGCAATCAAGAAATGTGGTAAACATGAGATGCATGAGGCTATCAGTGTAACCAGGAAGAAAGTTTTACTTTTTTTTTAAGTAAGTAGGAGTACACTCTCAAATAATGATAAAAAGTGTATTATGGTAAGTGCATATACTAGTAACAGTTGTTTATCATCACGATCAAGGGTTTTGTATTGTATAAATTTCTATGTGCCATAATTTTATATAATTGGCAAGTGTAGTGTGTGTGTTTATACCAGCATCATCATAAACATATGAGTAATACCTTGTGGCTAGGATGTTATTATGATGTCACTAGGMAACAGGAATTTTTCAGTTCTATCAGTCTCATGGGACCAATGTTGTACATTGTGTCCACTGTTGACTGAAATGTTCTAATGCCATGCRTGACTATACTAACCATCTACCTGCCTGTCCATGAGTCTCACAGGGGTCACCTCCATAGCCTTCTCTGCCATCCTAGGATGTGTGTAGAGTTGCCATCCTGAGTCTATAAAGACTAAGGAACTATGAGTAATTGTTGATTCTGGGTCACAGGGGTTGTGGATGGGGCTAGGGTTGGCGTTTGGGGGTCTGGCTTGAGTTCCCTCAGTTACACCTCTAACTATTCTGTGATGTCACTTCCTTCCCTCCTCTCAGAAGATGTCTCAGGCCACTGAGCATCCAGTGGTTTCTTCTTGTCATTTCCTGTCTTTCCCATGCTTCTTCACTTCTTCTCTCCATCCCCTGCTCCCTTCCTGACAGGTTCTGCTTTCTCAGCTTCTGAGATGCTGAGTTCTTCAGAAGCTCTTTCTGTGCTTCTGTCTGAGCAGGGGGRTGGTGGGGAGGAATATGTGTCTTGGTGTGTTCAGTGCCTGGGGCAGCAGCTCACACAAAGCAGGTTCTTATGACTTTTCAGTAGATTTCCAATGTGTGTTCATATGCTTTGGACCATTCTCAAAGTTTAATAATCTTTACTGGAGAGCATTGCATGTGTTCTGGCAGATTCTACTGATGCTGGTTATCCTTAACCTGTATTTGTTGAAAGTTAGGCCTCATTTGCCTAAGTATGAATCCTATTCTGAGTGATGGCCAGGATGCTGCACTGGGCTCTTTAGCAAATCTACTGCATGACTTTTGCATGCTCTGCAGGGAACTAGTGTGACTTCAAGGTCCTTTAGATGAATGCAAACCACAGGTGACAGACTATGCATACATTCCTCAAGACTTTTCATTTCTTCACTTACTGAAATGTTCAGCGTGCCTTCTGGGTACAGCTCTATTCCAGACCTATGGTTTTTGTGGCAAACACGTAATATTTACTCCCATGGGTGATAGAAAAGTGGGGAAGTCAAATGGGGTGGGGAAAACAACCCATTTTTGCCGCAGTCCGTCTGCAGCAAAATAACCAGGGGGTGACGAATAACTTGTGTACCTTGATACAGCAGGAATGGGAGCTGTTTATTGTAGGACAACAGAGCTATTTATACATTTTGCACAGCTTATCTTAATTAGCATAAACTAGATACATMAGTCAACCAATAAGGAATCTCCACACTTAATGGCTCACTTTTGTTACTTCTCAARCCACTCCCTCTGACATTTTKCCAGGCACCATCCAGACTTGTTTATGAACTCTACCATTCCCCTGGCAAAATACCAGGTGTTATTTTTGACTTATTTACAGACCTTAACACATTTTTGTAAGTGCTATGAAGGGAATGTCAAGAGTTGTGTGGGGAATGATGGCATAGGACTGATTTTAGTGGAGAATGCATCAATGGAGACTCTTCTGAGGACATGCCATTTAACTAGAGAGCTGACTGATCCTTGACAGGAGTCAGGATGTAGCCTTGCCCATTTGGGGTGGAGGAAAGCCAGGAGAAGAGAGGTAAGAGGAACAGAGAAATGGTCATCCAGGCCCAAGGTGAGAACAAGGTGAGAACTTTGGTCACTTGCCTAGTATTAGGCTCTGTAGCCCAGCCCCATGGCTGCTCTATCACGGAGCTGGCAGGGGCTATCACATTCATCCTACTGGAAGAGGCTTGCAATATTTCCCAAGCTGGAAGGAGGTCCCATCAGACCATTGAGAACTCAAGGGAGAGCTGCATTTGATAGTGAGAGAGGAGACAGGCCTGGTTCATGCAGGACTCTGAGAGCCAAACTAAGGTTTGAATTTTATCCCAAATGAACAGGAAGATATGGGAAGTCCCTCTGCTAGTCATTTGGAGACTAGATTAGCAGGGAAAAGGGGCTTAATTTAGAGTTAAAGGATAACTAGCTTTCGTGATCTTTCAGAGTAGAGTGTCAACCAGGAATTCTGGAACACCTCTCTTTTTAAATGGTACCAGGCCCTGTTAACTCTATCCCTTAATAGTTGATGTCATTTTTCTGTGTTTCCATATAAAAAGACCCTGAAGTTAATCACTTCTCTGTTACAGGAGTTTCCCCTTATGTGGTTTCAGTTACTTATAGTCAACTTTGGTCTGAAAATATAAGGAAAAACTCCATAAACAAACAATTCATGTTTTAAGTAACTTTTATTACAGTACATGCCTACAATTTGTTCTACTTCATTATTAGTTATTATTATTTATTTTTTACTGTACCTAATTTATAAATTAAACTTTACTATAAGCCTATATGCATAGGAAAAAGTGTAGTACTGTGGTTCCTTGGTATCCTTAGGGGGTTGGTTCTAGAACTCTCCATGGATTCCAAAGTCTGTAGGTGCTTGGGTATCTTATAGAAAATGGCATAGCATTTTCACATAACCTGAGCACACTTTCTCTATGCCTGCAATCATCTCAAAATTACTTATAACACCTAACAATGCAAATATTATATAAGTACATATTATGCTATATTTTTAGGGAATAACAACAAGAAAAAAATTGAACATTTGCATTTCAGATGCAATATTTTTCACAAATATTTTCTATCCTTATTTGGTTGAATCCATRGATAGGAACCCACAGATACAGAGGGCCAGCTGTATATGTAAGGTTTAATACTATACAGGGTTTAAGGTGTCTGGGTGATATCTTAGAATGCATCACCCATGGATAAAACGCCTACTATATCCTGATTTGGAAAACATAGCAATCACTTGTGTAGGGATTTAACATTCAGACTTGAGCCACAGCCATGCCCCCTTCCCTAGCTGGCTGTGTTGACCAGGATGGTCAACAACAGAGATTGACCATACATACAATCTAGTCCTTTCTGCTGAATATGCCCATCAATGCTCCACAGAAGCAGGGAGCAAATCAGTCATAGAAGGGAGTCTTTCTAACAAGAACTTTCTTCACTTTTCCTTTTCTTTTTTCCCCTTCCTTCCTTCCTTCCTTCATTTTTTTCAGATGTTACTCAACATTTGCAGTGAGTCTCAGGGTCTGGAAGGATTTCTTTCAGGATGTGAACTTCAGTCTCTACTGATTGCCACCACCTGTCTTCGGGAACACAGCTGCTACTTCTGGAAAGAGCCCACCTTCTGTGTGCTGAAGGCAATCTCCAGGGCTCAAAGCCCCAGTATCATCCAATACCTCCAGGGTAGGTCCCAGGAGACTTTCTTTGAACTCTTGGAGTAAAGACTTAGGGCCCACTTTCTACAGAGAGGCCCTGAGATGTTCCTCTGATATCAGAATAAATTTCAGGACCAAAGAAGAGGTGAATGGACAGATATGCCTTGTGGATGGTACAATAATACTTGGCACCATTTGTGAAAGTGATTGTATTATTCATCTTGWTGCTCCATTAGGGGAGGGAGGAAAGGGGATTTCATTCACCATGCTCATACTATCAAACAAACACGGTAATGGGATCATTTGTATACTATCTCATTTGTTTATTTGAGATGAATTTTGGAGATTAAGAAAGTGAAGATTAAAAGTGATAGAAGACCTTGTGAAGATCTACTTTTAAACTTAGAGATGTCTGATGATAGCACCTCAGTTTCTGGTTTGGGGAGCACATGTTGGGGTGAAGGTCATAGACTCTGGAACCAGCTAGTCAGGGTGTGTAGACTCTAGCTCTTCTGAATGACCTCAGGCATTCAACCCCTTGGGTGCCTCAGTTCTCTCATCTATAAAATGGGTATAATAACACATAATCTCCTTGGGTTCTTGTGATTCTTCAGTGAGTTGACACACAGAAAATGTTTAGACAGTGCTTGGTGTGTGTGTGTGTGTGTGTGTGTGTGTGTGTGTGTGTGTCTGTGTGTATAAAATGGATGCTGCATTGGTCTCAGCATCCCATCATCATTGCTTGCTTTTGATCAAAGGCAAGATGTTGCAGAAGCTAAATCTAGTATAAATCCTAAGGGCCTCCCCTTAGCATTATCTAACATCCAAGGACCTAGACAATGCTAAGAAGCAAGGAGACCACTGTGACTCCTAGCATGTCAGGGCAAGGTACAGGCCTCATCTCAGCGGCTGGTCCCTCATAGGGCAGAGAGGGAACCTCCATAGGCTAGTTCCAAGGAGGACATTTTGAGGAAGGTTCACCTTAGCTCACCTCCCACCCACCAAGCAACATTTTCTCAGTTCCAGCAGCCACGCTGGGAACATGACAGCCCTTCCTTTGGGCTGACCTGCAGGTATGGACTCTGTGGAAGCTCGTTAGGGTCTCAAGCTGCTAACGAGAGTTTTACACTTCACTTACATATTCACAAACCCCTGTTCTATGATTTGTTTTCTTTCTGGGGTCTCCTACAATAGGTGGCATTAGATGGTGAGAACCAGGAAAGTCCAACAAGCCTATGTTCTGACTGTAACAGAGTTCCTACAGGACATGTCATCCTAGTTTGGAGATTCAAAGCTGTCTGTGAAACCAGAGCCCAGTGTTAACAGTGGAGGGCTAAGCTGTGTCTCAATAACTCAGTCTCTCTTAGTCCTCCTCAACAGCTAGAATCTAAGTAGCTGAGAAGAGGTTGTGGGCCTTGGGGATCTTGGGTGGGGGTTGTCTCTGCCTATGTTGTCCTCTGCTGCCCAAGACAACAACCACTCAAGAAGATTTCACCTAAGTGGGGAGCCTGCCACCCAGAGCGCTAAGACCAGAACCTCTTTAAGGGAAGGGTTGGCTTCTGTGGGCTTAAGGGCCAGGAGGTCGTCAGGAGGGGAAGGCTGGTCTGGCAATTCCCTGACACAGCAGCAACTCTTGGCGCTTTTCTGCCCAATGTGCAGACTTCAGGTGCTTCTGAGTCCTCACTGCTCAGAGACCAAGCATGCATTATCTCATGTTCCACTGGTGTGGCTTTCCAGCACTCAGAAGAGTTTCCATTCGGTGAGACATCCCTGAAAACAGGGATCCATTCCGATGCAAGTCTGAAGGCCTCTCTTTCTGACTCATGCCCGGTCCCTCATGTGGTCAGCCATCTTCCTTCTCCCCTGTGGCCCTCCCGACGCTGTTCTAATCCCATGGCTTCTTCACCACCTGAAACACACATCCTTTCCCTCTCTGCCTCCTCATGTATTCACCGATCCTTCCCTCACTTTTAATCAATAATTCCTGCTCAGCTCTCCATACTCGGCTCCCAACACTGTTTCCTTCAGGTCTTCCAGGACGCTCGGGTCTTGTGTCTTGCATCTTGTTCCTCAGGGACCTGGACTTTCCTGTATGCTGGGAAAGAGGAACAGGGGGCTAAAATTCTTCCCTCCTTTTCTGTGTCACCTGCTTGGCCTGCAGGATTTGGCTTTCATGATGGCCCTTCCCATGGGGGAAGCTTCTCTTTGAACCAAGAGTCTGTAGGACATGTTCTGGATTCAATCTCACTCACATCTGACATCCAGTTTAAAGTGGAGGAGGGTGGCAGGGATAGGGAGAGACTATAGCAGCCAAGCTCTTGCTTCTGGGCTCAGCAGTGCTGTGCTTCCCTTCTACAGCTGCTGACTGTGTCCGGCTCTCAGTTCAGAACCTCTCCAGGCTGGCAGACACTCTCCCACCTCCCGAGGTGAGCGAAGCTGTGAACCTCATCTTGGGCTTTGTGAAGGACTCCTACCCCATCTCCTCAGCTCTGCTCCTGGAGTTTGAAAACGGGGAGGGTTACCCTCTGTTACTCAAGGTATTATTACGGTAAGTGCCTATGCCTGGTGGTGGGGAGAAATGGGAACATCCCTGCCATGGTCCTTAGAATCATCTGGGATGCTAGTGTGGAAGCCAGTTATTGAAGCCCCTCAGCATGTCTTCTGAAGTGTAAAACTCCCTGGAGCATGACCAGAGAGACCCCTCACAGCAAAATAACCCAACATGCAGACTGAGGTGGTGACCACTTCCTTCAAAATCCATGGGCAACAGGGTAAATTTTTCAAGTCTGCTTGGTGTCATGCTATTGGCCTGGTTCTCACCTGTCAGAGCCCACATGTCTATGTTGGGGGCTTTCTGGGGGCTGTTGTCGGCTTCCCTACCGGTGTTCTTGGATGGCTGGACATGTGTAGGAGTTGACACCTTGCAGGGGCAGCTCTTGACCAATGATTGACAGGAGCTGATAGGTAAATGCTCAGCAAAAGTGCCCTTGGGTGGGAAAGCTTTGCACTCTGTGAGTTCCCCAGAAGGACTGACTGCAGTTGCCCAGCGAGGTTCTGGCTCATAATGCTCTCACACTGGCTTCTTGTGCTCCCCTGCCTTGTGTGGCTTCTCCCCTACTGTGTTTTTCTGGGGTGTAGTCCCAAATGAAGTACTTCTTTCCCAGATCCTTAAGCTTTGGGAAAACCAAATAAAAACATTGTGCAGCTGGGTCTGGGATAGTGTCTTCCACTCTGACTTGCTATATCATCTTCAGGTTGTGCCTAGAGATTAGAAAGAGCAAGCAATGGAAATCAAGGAAATTCTTTGATGGTTCAAGCTTTTATTTTTTCATAAATTTATTTGTTCTTTTTAGTTATACATAGTTCATTTTGATATAATTATACAAACATGGACTATATTTTATTCTAATTAGAGTTCTATTCTTATTGATGTATATGGTGGTGGGATTTACTGTGTTGTTTTCATATTTGTACATGGCAAAACTATGTCAGATTCCTTCTACTGTTTTCCCTTTGCTTATCTTGCCCCCTCCTCTCCATTCCCCATTGCCTAATCTACTGCACTTCTATTGTCCTCCCACTCTGATTATTTGTTTCTTGTGGGTTAGCTTCCACCTATCAGAGAAAACATTCGACCTTTGGCTTTTTGGGACTGGCTTACTTCACTTAGCATGATAGTCTCCAGATCCATCCATTTGCTGGTAAGCATCATAAAATCATTCTTCTTTATGGCTAAGTAATACTCTATTGTGTATATATACCACATTTTCTTTATCCACTCATCTATTGAAGGGCACCTAGGTTAGTTCCATAGCTTAGCTATTGTGAATTGAGGTGCTATAAACATTGATGTGGCTACATCACTATATTGTGCTAATTTTTAGTCCTTTGGGTATAAGCTGAGGAGTGGAATACCAGGGTCAAATTGTGTTCCCATTCCAAGTTTTCTGAGGAATCTCAATATTGCTTTCCATAGTGATTGCACCAATTTGCAGTCCCACTAGCGATATATGAGTGTACCCTTTTCCCAACATCCTCGACAACATTTATTGTTAATTGTATTCTTGATAATTGCCATTCTGACTGAAGTGAAATGGATTCTCATTATATTCTCAGTTTTAATTTGCATTTCTCTATTTTGCTAGAGATGTTAAACATTTTTTCATGTATTTGTTGACTATATTTCTTATTCTGTAAAGTGTCAGTTCCTTTGCCTATTTATTGATTGGGTTATTTGGGGATGTTTCTGGTGTTTTTAAAGGTTTTTAAAAAATATATATCCTGAAAATAATGCTCTGTCTGAGGTGCAGGTAGCAAGGATTTTCTCCCATTCTGTAGGCTCTCTCTTCACACTCTTGGTTGTTTCGTTTGCTCTGAAGAAGCTTTTCGGTTTGATACCATTTTGTTTATTGATTATTGATTTTGCTTCTTGAGCTTTAGGGATCATGTTGAAGAAGTCAGTTCCTGAGCTGATATGTTGGAGTGTTGGGCCTACATTTTCTTATGTTATGTGTAGGGTTTCTGATCTAATACCTAGGACCRTGATCAATTTTAAACTGAGTTTTGTGCAGGATGAGAGATAGGGGCTAAATTTCATTCTGCTACTTATGGATTTCCAGTTTTCCCAGCACCATTTGTGAAGAGGCTCTCTTTTCTCTGAGGTATGTTATTGGTGCCTTTGTCTAGTATGAAGTAATGTATTTTTATAGATTTGTCTCTGTGTCTTCTATGCTRTTCTATTAGTCTTCTTGCCTGTTTTGGTGCCAATACCATGTTGTTTTTGCTAATGTAGCTGTATAGTATAATTTTAGGTCTGGTATTGTGATGCCTCCTGCTTTGCTTTTTTTGCTAAGGATTGCTTTCGCTATTTTGGGTCTCTTGCTTCTCCAGATTAATTTCATGTGTACTTTTTCTATTTCCATGAAGAGTATCACTGGAATTTTGATGGGAATTGCGTTGAATCTATATAATGCTYTTGGTAGTATGGACATTTTGATACTATTAATTCTGTCTATCCAAGATCATGGGAGGTCTTTCTGTTGTTTTTCTCTTTACTGTTCTGTAATTTTCATTGTAGAGGTCTTTCACCTCTTTCATTAGACTGATTCCTATTTTTTTTTTTTAGATTATTGTGAATGGGATAGTTTTCCTAATTTCTCTTTCTGATGTGTCTTCCTCTGGGCTTTGCTTTGCTTCTCCTCTTTAGGGTGTAGATTACCACTGGACTTCACAACAGAGCAAGGTTTTGAACCTAGAGGGAGTGACTTGGATGAGAGGTACTGAAGTCCCTCAGTTCAGTCTCCACTGGAATGTGATTAAATGGCAATAACCTGAGGGACTTGCTCCAAAGGGATGCTAGGAATAAATGTCCCTCTGTGGGTACATCACATTTCACATCAGTCTGGACCATGACCAGATGGCTATGGCCACTGTGGTGGTATATGTATGGCATTTTCTACACATTTCTTTGGCTCAATCACAGGTCAACTCTTCCGAGACTTCTTGTAGAAGGCAGGAGGTGGAAATAAGCCTATTGTAGGAAGTGTGGGGAAGCACCCATTTCAGTTCATTGTCTTTCCTCCCTGCTTTAATGAAAGCACCTTTTCCTGTTGAAATACCAGAGGTGAAATGAGCCTGAAGAGGCTCTTCCTCATGAGCAGAGCAAGGTAGCTCACCTGTGCATAAGTAGCTAAAATCAAAGCAATATTCAACCTTATGGTAAGCCGGAGGAAATCTACATAACCTAGTTCTTTCTAATGATGTTTCATTGCTGTTTGGAAATACTGACTCATTTTGGAAGTGCCCCTTCTTTGCTCATGCCCTAAGCTTATGTCTTTTGAGAATCCAGCCTAGAAAGCAGCCATTCTCTGAACAGAGTTGTAGTTTTTCACAGGTTCCTCTAGATATTAGTTCTTCCTTATGGGCAGGGAATATGTTCCAAGATCCCAAGTGAATGCCTGCAACTGAATGCTAGATGTACTATTTTTTTCTCCTGTACATGCATACTTATGATAAAATTTAATTTATAAATTGGGTGCAATAAATGTATAACAGCAATAACAAATCCTAAAATAGAACAATTATATGAAAATATACCCTAAGAAAAGGTATTTTAAACTTATGAATGGTTTGTGTCTGGAACTTTCCAGTTAATATTTTAGGGCCATGATTGATCAGGAGTAATTGCAACTTTGGAGTGCAAAACACCAATAAGAGGGGATTATTGTATTCTGGTAGCACTTATTTAGCTGAAGTTTGCAAACATAATAGCATTTATCCAGGATGTTCTCCTTGTCTTTGGTGACATGGTGCCTCTGGTTTAAGATCTTTGGGGTCTTCCCCAATATGACAGATCTGCATTGCCTCTGTCTCCTTGTGAGGAGCACCATGCACAAATGTGGCTGCTCCATGCAAGATGTGCAGGGAGATGGCCTCATCTGTCCCCACAGGTACGACGGACTGACTCAGGGTGAAGTGGACCCCCACCTGGAGGAGCTTGTTGGACTAGTAGTGTGGCTGACAACCTGTGGGAGGTCAGAGCTGAAGGTGTTTGACAGTGTCACTTACCCTCAGCTTGAAGGCTTCAAGTTCCATCGTGAGACTTCTGGTGGGTCCTTCTTGTGTCTCTGGGTAACCCCAATGGAGTCAATGCTGTGCCCTGATAAGTCTATGCAGGTCCCCCCCCCTTTTTCTGTGTTTACCTGTTAAGGTAGGAGAGTCTGATATGGCCATAGCTTTTGGGGAAATGATCCGTGAGTTTGAAATCTCCCCTTTATACACTTACCCAGATGTGCAACTACAGCTTTTTACAATGAGGAAGTTTGTTTTGTGTAGAACTCAGAAGAAATATTGCTTAATAAAGGAAAAGATTGGAGGAGTTCTCTGATTCCACCACCCACCTCGTGGAGACTCTAATATTTGTGATGAAGTCTGATGATCTTGAATCAACCTCCTAGGCTCAGAGTCAGTGACTTCTCTTCTTAGTACTTTGAGATATGATTGGTTAATTGATGAATTCAGTCTGCACACACATGGGTGCCACATGGGTGCCGGTGTGAACAGGCCAGGTGCCTGCTTCCTTAAGCTTCTCTTTAGAGACCTTGTGCACACACTGAATATATTCTGCTAGAGAACTGGCTGACAAATGCATCTGACACAGCTGTGACATCCCATGGGTCAGTAAGGAAACCCTGCACAGAGGTGCCTGGTGGAAGGTGTTTTGAAGGCTAAGTGTGATTGTTCCAGATTGAAGTGAAAGGGAAGACTTTAAAGGTAGGTTGTACTGTCTAGGGAAAAAAATGTGGCCTTGAACAGTTGGGTGAGTCTGAGGAAGGGGGAGCTGCTGCAGAGCCGAGGCCGAAGAGTGGAAAGCCATAGGGGCCAGCTTAAGAAGGGCCACTGGGTGGGCTTCAGCAGATACACAGGGACATGGATAATGTTCAGGGGAATGTTGGACCAGAGATTTCAGTTTCAGAAACTTCTCTGGTATCCAAGGAGAGAGGGCTGTAGGCAAAGAGCTTTCTGATGAAGCATCTAGATGCGAGTCGTCTTTTCACCTGGAGAAAAAGGCCGGGCGAGTTAGGAAGGTATATTCTTTAACAGCTTATCTAGAAATGAAACTGATTTGCTTGGTCATCTTTGCCATCATTTGATTTTAATCAATTGAAAATAATTCTCCCAGACCAGCTCTGGCCAATGAAACACAATGTTAGTCAAATCATGTAATTTCAAATAAGAAGAAACTGGTTAAATTATTTTTGGTCATGTATTTTATTTATCTCAATATATCCAAAATGTAACACCTCAACATGCAGCCAATACAAATGACTCTTCATGGGATAATTTTTTTTCTTTTCTTTCAACTTTCTTTTGGAACTCCAGTGTGTTTTGACGCTTTTGGAACATCTTGGTTCATAGTGGCCACAGTTAGAGTGCTCTATTAACCAACATATCTTTGACAGTGCAGCTCCAGCCTTTTTCATATCCTGAGGGGATGACCTTTTTGGATTTTGATAGATGCATATACACAAGACCTAGAAAATAGAAACTTCAAATAGGGTGTTCTAATGATAATGCAAGCACATATTTCTAAATGGGAGAAATGACTTGCAGGATTATTCTTGTTTTCATCTTTAGGTGTGAGTGTTAAGAATCTGCAGGCCTTCCAGGTTCTGCAGAGTGTTTTCCACAAAGCCAATGATGCTGTCCTCTGCACGCAAGTCCTGTTGGCCATCAAGACCATGTGGGCTTGGAACCCTCGGAATTTCTTCCTTCTGGAGTGGACCCTGCAGCCCATCTCACAGTTTGTGGAGATTGTACCCCTGAAGCCTACCCCAGTGCAGGTGCAATTTTTCCAGCTCCTGGAGTCACTGGTGTTCAAGATGTGCTACGTGCCCCATGAGATCCTGCAGAAGGTGCAGCGTCTGATCAAGGAGAGCCCTGAGCCATCCTGTACCCTTGTGGCACTGCAGAGCATCCTCAAGATCACTGGCAGTGACCCTCTCTTCACTGACATCTTCAGGGACTCAGGGCTGCTGGGCTTGCTGCTGGCCCAGCTGAGGAAGCAGGCCAAGATCATGAGGAAGTCAGGTGCGGCCTCAGAGAATAGGGAGGGATGGGAAAGTGGGCTGGGATCCGTATTAGCCAGGCTTGGTCTGTATGCCAACCCAGCTACCCCTTGATGTGACAGAGAATGTAAGCATACCTATGGCACTGGGCATCATGAAGGTCAGAGAAGGTGTCCYTGAGACACATGGCATCACAAAGAGTAGGCAGGCTTCCCAGTCTTCCCCATGAGAAGGTAAAAGTGATGGATGCAATTTTAGAATGCACTTGGGACTAACCCAGGCCCTTAGTTTTTAAGTATTTCCCACCCTAGACACTGTCTGGGTATGTAATGGGAGATAGCTGGGGACCTGTGGATCTTCAGTAATGCAAAGGGTAATGGGAGCTGGAGAGCTCTAGGCTTCTGGAAGAGCTCTGCTCTTTAAGGATCTTCTGAGATATGGCCTTGCTCACTCCACACTGTTGGTCTGATGGTTCCCCACTGGCAGAGGGGTCACCAGGACCTCCAAGTTTTGGTCCCACTTTGTGTGCCCTGTTGGGCAGCCACTTGTGCCTTCTTGGCTATACCYTTGGCACTTGCCTCAGTCCCTGCACTCCAGGGTCTCAACTTCAGCAACCTAAAAGGACATAAGGCACACTTTGGGGTGCCTTATGTCCTCATGAAAGTGCACAGTGAATGGGCATTGGGCCCTTTAATTTCTTTACCATGTCCCAGCCATAAACCCTGCTGGGGACCCTGTATATGGGACTCTGTAGCCCCCACCTCCAGTGATTYTCAGATGGAAAATAGGCACAAAACTTCCTTTTCCTATTTCTCTTGTCTTTCCCTTGTTCTGTGTACATCTGCTGTTCTGTGAAATCAGCCTGGAGGAGGGACCCCAGAACACAAGAACCTGACTGTTTATCTCTCCTCACCTTTTTCTCCTCTCCTTGTCCCACTGCACAGGCTAGGAGTGCCTGGGGACTCTCTGGCCTTTGGGGCTTTTGAGAATCTGCTTCAGACTTAAGCCAAGGTCATCATTAGCCTGTTTATTTCCTGAGTCTATCTGAGGAGAAGAAGCAGAGAGAGAGATCATGGGTGTTGGAGCCAGGCAATAATAAGGATTGAGCTGAAATCCTGGCCTTATTACTTACAAATGGAGAGGTCTTAGCAAAGTTACTTTGTCTTTTTGGACTTGCTTCCCTCTCAGTAACATGTTGATAATAGCTACATCATAGAAATCTTCTGAGAATTAAAGAAAAAGGCCCCATTGCTGTGCCTGGTACATAGCAGGTGCTCAGAAAAGGTTCATTTCTGTATCCCTACACTTGCATGGTGTTGCATGGAAGAYTGAAGTAGATACTCCAGGAAGAGCTTGGGCACCTTTTGGAGGCCAGAAAAGGCCTATCCTGTCCTGAGAATATTTGCAAGTCTGATCAGGATTGAGGACAATGGGCTTCCAGAATGCTTTGTGTGTTTTGTTATATGCAAATTTCCTGGACAGTTTTGTTATATGCAAATTTCTGTTCTTTAGTAGCTTTGTCTTAGTCCCTTTTCTGTCATTATAACATAATGCTATAGACTGGATAACTTATAAATAATAGAAGTTTATTTAGCTCATGCTTCTGGAGGCTAGGAAGTCCAATATCATGGTGCAAGCATCTAGTGAAGGCATTCTTTTTCCATCAAAACATGGTGGGGGGCAGCAAAGGACAAAGGATCCAGCATTCTATTCTTGGATCTCTCATTCTCCTCTGATAAGGTCACTAATCCCATCACAGGGTCTCCACTCTCATGACCTCATCTAAACCTAATTATGTCTCAAAAGCCTCACCTTCAAATATTATTAATGCATAATTAAGTTTTTAACACTTAAATTTTGGGAGGACACATTCAAGCCATGCCCTAAATCTGGTCATGAATAAAGTTAGCAAATTAGCTTTCCTTGGCATTTAACTGAGAARTCTTTGCACAGTCTTTGTTTTTAAGTGTTTTTGTATTGTTCTAGTTCCGTATTGCTTTCTGTCATATATTTGCTTCTAAGTCTCATCCCAGACTTATAAGCATTTCTAGGAGAGTTTGAGCTTATTAGCAAGCTAAAGTAGTCAGTCTTACTTTGTGCTTTGTGTTTTAAAACGTGCTTTATTTATTCATAGGTATTCTGTCTCCTGGTAATAAGCCATACTTTGTACTCATTTATTCATTCATTCTCTAAATATGTATTGAGCTTCCCACTTGTTTAGGCACTTTTCTGGTGCTGGGATTCARTGGTGAACAGAAACCTGGTTTTGCCCTCATGGATTTAGTGGGGACACGTCTTATGCTCAAATCTCTTGAGCTTCTGAATGGCTTGAGTATGAGCTGTACTCTCTCCCAGGGATGATGGTGAACTGTAAAAGTGGTGAAAAGAGAATAAGAAGGCGAGGCAATGCTTCTTAAAGTGAAGCATGGTCAGTGGACCCTCCTCATCAGCATCACCTGGGAACATGTTAGAAAGGCAAGTTGTAGGCTCTCATCCCAGACTTATTAATTCAGAACCTCTGGGGATGGGACACAGCATGAAGCTCTGGATTTTACCAGCAATCCAACTAGGGGATTCTGATAATGCTCACATTGGAGAACCACTGCTTTTGAGGGTAGTAGTGTCATATCTCAAGAATTGGGGTTCACACTCCCTTATAATAGAAGTACTGTATTCACATCTTCTTAAGAGAATAGAAACTAATGAARTTAATGTGTACTTGGATTTTTGTTGATTCTTTAATATGATAGGAAACAAAGAGTATAGTCCTGGCATTCAGGATCCAGAAAGAGAACTCACCTGTGTGATGCTGAGAACTGTGGTCACACTTCTGAAAGGCTCGGTTCGGAATGCAGGTAAGAATGGTACCAACTTTRCCTTGTCATTATTTATTAAAATGTTAATTATTTCCTAGTTATCTACATGAATTTTCAAAAGTTATATTCAGGGAACAACCAGTATCAATGCTATGTGTAATGTCTATCTGCTGATTGGTGTTCAGTGACCAACAGTAAATTGATAGACATCTTGGTTGACACTTTTTACTCTAAGGTTATGCAATAAGGTTGGTGAGCAAAGAAACTGTACTTAATCTAGCAGTTTCTAAATTAATGGGAATTACAGAGCCCCTTCCCTCTTTTCAAGTAAAATCCATTAATATTCTGCTACAATGACTATAGATCCAAAAAGAGAAAAGGAAACAGCTAAAGAGGTAAAGACAATTAAAGGAAGTTAGTACTTTTTAAGAAATATAATTTGGACATACCTCCTGGCCAGGGTAATCTTGAAACTCTATCCATCCCCAGACTCCCTCCCCCCGACTTTTTTTTTAGCTTTCTAAGATCATGTTGTTTCTATATTTTTAAGAAAGTATGTGCAATACACACATACACACACATGCATACATACATATATTTAAAATAATATGAAACATGTACCAACAGTCATATCAATGGGCAGTTTGTTCTGTGATTTAGGTATCTTTATCTGAGGTTCTTATAGATTAACTATCCTAAATGTAAAAAGCTATTATTTCATTATAGCAAAGGGAAGTCTCTAACATTAGACTATAAAACATTCCCCAGAGGGGCTAGTTAAAGTTTATATTCCTCAGCTCACTCTCAGACATTTAACTAGTAGTAAGTCAAGGTAGAGCTGAGGAAGCTACTATTTCAGCAAGCCTCCATGGGGATGGTCAGGTAGGGGAGTACTCAGCCCACAATTAAACTAATTCTGCATTACGGACTTGAGCTTCTCAAATCCACATTAGTTTGGGCAAGTTACTGCCTAGTTTTTTACTCCACATGAACTACTCCAAAAATCAATTCTGGGGAAGAAAAAATGTTTAGGATTATTTTTAAACCAACTTGTTTTCCTTTATTTTCTCCCCAAGAAACTACCCAGAAATTAAATATGTTCTCAGATTCTAGTTTGTTTTCTGCAAGAATTTTAGCAGAAAAAAAGAGAGTATTGTCTCTCTGGACTATCAAGTTACAGGGAAACAAAGGGCAAGGGATATCTAGTTAAAATTCCAATTACCTAGGTTTCTAAAAAKAAGGTGTTTTTTCTCCCTCTTTTTTCCTACAAGACTATAAGACATTGTTCTTAACTATAGTTGTCTTGAACTTATTTCTCCTATCTTAAACTTATCTCCGATGGAGATATTGATGAAAATTTCCCCCCACCCCAAAATAAGATTCTCAATGATGAAGAAAGCAGTTTTTAAAAATTTTCAGCTTCAYATTTTCTCTCTTCCTTTTTTTCATTTTAATTTATAATGGGCATACCAATAGGCAAACAGAATACTTAAAATGTAGCAAAATGAGTTTAAAGACAAAGCATTCCTTAAGAGTGAAACTGAAGTACCAAGGCTCCATGCTCTAGCCCCATCTTATCTGTCTGGTCCCCAGTTGTCCTGAAAGACCATGGCATGGTACCCTTCATCAAGATCTTCCTGGACGATGAGTGCTACCGTGGAGCCTCACTCAGCATCTTGGAGCAGCTCTCAGTCATCAATGCTGAAGAGTATATGAGCATCATTGTTGGTGCTTTGTGCTCATCCACTCAGGGGGAGCTGCAGCTGAAACTGGACCTCCTGAAGGTAATTTCAAGTTCCTATTTGTGATTGGCTTTTCTATAAATATTTACCAAATGATACACATTTTTTCAGGCTTTGGTTCATTTAGTTGGCCACTATATTAGGTAGTGCATTGTGTTAGGCAGTGTTAGCTGCAATAACAAATAAATCTCACATCCTCGGTTGCCTGATACATTAGACTTTCCTTTTTGCATAGAATCCAATCAATGATTGTGGCTGCTATTCAGGCATAGCTGTCACCTGGCYTTCTAACTCAGCTAGCACACAAGGGAAGAACTACCATGGGAAATGGCAGAAGGCATTTTCATTCAGACCTGGAACTGCCATGTGTTAATTTCTGTCTAATTTTCTATGGACAGAACTTTGGAGAGGACTCACTTGAATGTCAGGGGTTCCAGGAAATGTAGTCCCCATGAAGGCAGCTGGTTCCCAGCAACATTGTAAACTGTGAAAGTGGAGCTCAAATCAGTGGTGGTTAAACAACTGCCTTGTTGACTCTACTTACTGAGCATCTATCAATTACCAGGCCTGATACAGAATGCCTGGACATACAATAGAATGAGATACTAACCTGGGCCTGTGGGAGCTCAGAGAAGAGTGCTCATAATAAGTGAGCATGGGTTGTATTATAATGTGGTAGATGCCCTGGTTAGCCTTTGGGCACAGCCTGCTATGAAAAAGAAAAGTAAGGGAGATCAGCTCTGCCTTACCTGTTTGAGGAAAGCTCTCAGAAGAGATAAAGGGAGCAAAAGAAAGTGAAAGGTGTGGGAGCAGCAGGTACATGGGGACAAATGAGACTCGGTTGTAACATTTGGATAACAGAGGATTATATGCTTTTATGATATTGCTAATAATTAACAAATTACCTTAATTTAGTTAAAGAAATATAACAAAATACTAACCCTACTATTCTTTCTGTCTTATGGCTCTCACAATTTTGTTACCATTCCTTTCCTTCACTTCTTTAATGTTTATGGATTTATACTTTTTTTWAAAAAAATTCTCTTTTCTTTGGTTTTATTCTATTTGGGGACAGAGCAGAAATAAATGTAAATATCCCTTGGGGAGTGGACCTGGACTTCTCACATGTATGTGTAGCACAATCCCAAATGAAGCACATGCTTATGTTTTCTTAGAATGTCATACCCAATTTTTGGTGAATTAAAAAAAGAAAAAAGTACAAACTTCTCTGACTCCCAAAATTTAGTAAACCATCAATCTAGCTTACTTATGTATGTCTCTGGACAAAACCTTTCTGAACACGTAGAGGATGGTGTTTGAATCATTTGACGTACTTTGTTTCTCTGCAGAGCCAATATCAGACATTGGTGTGAACTTTGCTTGTTCACAAGGCCTAAGCCTGCAGGGGTTGGCTTGGCCGAAGCAATGAGTGACTCATATAAAAGTGACATTGTGAACATGGCTATCATGTGCTTCACAGATAACAGGAACCCAAACAATGATTTCACTACATGGAAAAAAAAATCAGTGACAGTGATTTCTATGAAGCAAAAAAGGAAAGTTAAATATCTTTTGGAACAGCCCAGTGATTTTGTGAAGTAGGGGCATCATAAAGCAAAAACAAAACAAAACAAAAAGAGTTGATGAAAATTTAGTGCTGGGAAAGACCTTAGATTCAGGTGGCCCCGTTTTCCAGTGCTATAGGCAGAGAGAGTCTAGTTAGAGCACTTCATTGATAATTGCTATAAGTGTTGAAGTTAGTCTGAATCTAAGACTAGCAACTGAAGAATGAGTGATTTTCCCACCCTGGCAGGCTGTTTGTCTCATTTCCTCCTCATGTCTGTGTTCAGCTTTATTTTATGTGTTCTTACAGGAAAAGGAAAAGTACCATAAGAGCAGTCCGGACTGTGGTTTTTGACAGGGTGAACAATCATTTCTGACACTTTCATATTGAAAGTTAAACAGATTCAGAGAAGAAAAAATTTCTCTTTTACTTTGTTTGGAGAGTAAAAGCATTTTTGTGTCTAATACAGAAGAAGTGCTCTGCTTTGCTCTTGGAGAGTTCATCTTGTTTACTCAATAGCCCAGAGGCTTCTTATTGGAGTGTTAGCCCTTGGGTAATGGACTGAATTTCTAGAATTAGCAATGTAAAGCCATTATGGTGTTTTACAGAYTCAATATCATTTCAGAATCACACTATGAAGAGAGCACATAAGAATGAACGCTCCGAGAGCTTATTTAACAAAATCATAGCCTGTGCTCAATGTGCCATCTTCTCCCCATGTACCAAGTCACTGCTGGGCAGTTGGGAGGCCCCAGGAGCTGCCATTGCCCTCTGAGGACTAGGGCTGTTAACACATTGCTGCTCCAGTGAGCAGTGGAGCAGGATGGGCCCCCCGAGCCTATCCCAGATTTGCCTACCACTGAGTAACATGAGTATCTAGTGAATGTTTGATGGAATCTGATGTGGGATATGCAATTGTTCCTCAATCATCTTGGGAATCCCTTGGAACTTTGGGAGCAAAGATGTGAAATGAACTCCTTTTGGCTATATCTCCTTTGCTAGAAGCCAAGGCCTGGATGTGCCCACAGGTACTATCCACAGAGTGGGTCAGACAGAGGATGAGGGGGAAATGCTGGCGTATTGGGACCTGAAATGCAAAGGGGTTGGTGGTAAAGGGTTGCTGTCTCTGAAATGCATTCCCAACATGGCATTGTTCCAGTGTCCCTTCCTTGTGGCAAAATCTGCCAGCCACTCTGGAGAAGACCAATTCAGGGCAGATGTTTCCAAAGTTCAGTGGTGCTTCCATACCAACACTAAAGTCACATGTGACTGCACCACCAATTCTCCCAAATGATAACTGAGTTAAGGAATAATGTAGGCAAATGAATTTCCTCTCCATGGCCGGTGGGACCATGATTGGGTTATGCACAAATTCAGATTGATTTGCTAATATACATTTAGCTGTTCAACTCTGAGCTTTAATCACATTACCTCACCAGTCTTCCAGCATGACACATGGAAAATTATGAGGAATAACAAATAATAGAATGTGAAATAAATCCTGTTAGTCCTAACATAGTTAGCGCTTTGCAGCAGACATCCATTTTATAGATTCAAGCTGGAGGAATACTAACTCAGAGAYGATGACATGGTAACTGAGTTAAGGATGAGAAAATGTGCTTAACGCTGACCTTTCTTGAAATGTGTCAACCCTAGCCTGATTACTTTGACTTCAGCTGATTAAATTTACTCCCTTCCACCGACTGGAAACCCTATGTGATGCATTATCATGTAAAGTTGAATGACAGTAATGGAGACCCTCCTCCTAGGCCCCCAGTTCCTGACAAATCGTTTCCCGAAGTAGYGAAGTATTTATTTTCCTTTATGATAGAAATGTTTCTCTTTAGTTGCTATGAAATTAAGCCTTTGTAATTGGATTTTGAACTCTTTACTTTATGACTCTACAAATATGAAATTAACCCCATCCCAAGAAATAATAGAACAGTCTACGTTCTAATGAGATTACCCCCATTTTAGATAATGACTCTGAATTTAATAAATCAAACAAAGCAACAATTAAGGACAGCCCATTCCTTCCTTTTCCCCCTCCCAAGCAGAAAATAAAACAACCAGCTAGGAGTTACAGGTGACAGTCCCTTTGAGAGACACAGATCATGATGAGGACTATTATCAGGTTGTGTCTCTTAAAAAAAATATCTGTTTTCAACACTCTTAGAAGGATGGAATCCTTTTAAGCAATATCAGACATCAATTTGGACAATTGGAAGGTGGTTTCTGGAGAGAAGAGTGGGCTTTCAGTGGTCATGAAGCACTCAGACAATTGGCTATAATCTGATTAGTTTTGTTTTTGAATCATTCTCCTTTTTGGTATGTTTTGTCATGTGTCATGGGATAAACTGAAGAGCTCCATTCATTCCAGTGCTTGAAACCAACCTCCTAGTTGTCTTAAGAGCCATCAAAAACTCTCTGTTGAATTGAGTCTGTTTAGAATCGTATAGCTTTAAATTTACCAATGTCTTTGTGATTGATTTATTTTTGGTGGCCTGTGTCCTGTGACCAGGCACAAGCTCAGTTTCAAACAAAGTATATAGTTTCAAACACTGTGTATAGTTCAGCAGTGTTCCTTCCACCATGTAAGTCATCATTTGGAAGGAAAGTGACCAAACCTTCACGAGCTTCAACATTATAGTGAGTTTCCTGCTCAGCTGAAGAAATAATTCTATGTTAGGAGAGAGTTGTGCATGTGTGGCAGGTACAGATATGGTGTCTGCCTTGGCCTCTCACAGCCCCAGGCTCCTCAGGGTGAGGAGTGTGGGGTGGAAGAAAGTGGCTGTGGTGACTGTCTACACACAGAAAGGCCTTGCTCAGTGCTAGCCATGGGCTTTTACATTTTCTGAGCATCACCGTTTCTGAAAGAACTTTGCTCTAGCAATCTTAATTTTTGTCTTTAAGGGCATGTCTACAAATGCCARTCTTTCCTGGATTTTGAGCCAAATTCACAATGTGAGGGCATWTTCTCACCACAAGGAGAAAGCACTGTCATTGCCACATCCTTCATATTTTATTTTTGCCTCCATCTTTCTGGCAGTATGGAAGGTCCATTTACCTGAAGTCTATCCCATGACTCTGATTTGAATCTCCTTTGGTGGGTGGCTCTGATGCTAACTCTTTTTTTCAAATTCCAAAATGGCAACTGATTTCCCCATACTGGTCCTTCTTTGCTGTGGTGGATTATCATTGATCTAACCACCATATGACAGATGTTTTCTCTAACTGGGAAATGATCTATCATCCCATATTGGTAAAGGTAAATATTTCTTTCTCATTTTATATTACTTATCCATTTTGAACAAAACTGTGGAATTTGGCCTTTCATAGATTTTCCTAGTTACTATAATATTCATTTTGTTTTTTGATTTCTTGAAATGTCATAGATTGGGTAGTCGAAGTATATTAAGTGGATCTTGACCACTTTTTGAGAGTCTTTGAGAGAAACTTTTTTTGAGAGTCTTTGAGAGAATTCTCATCTGTGTGCATCAACATGATCCAGGCTCATGTTGTTTTAGCTCACACATGGGATTGACTACCCAAAAAGCTACTTGGTATTCTTGTAATGAAATATCACTTTAAACAACAAAATTTGAGTGACGGGAGCACCCATTATATTGTTACAGGGAGAAACTCCTGTTAGGTTAGGGTACCAGCATTTTAGAGATGCAGCTGGAAAGTTACCTTTCCCATCAAAAGTGCATAGTTTCATCTTTAATCATTACTTATAACTTTACTAAGTTTCTATTTGACCTTCTATGTAGGAGAATTTTATGACTGTTTTCTCCTTTTTTTCCCTGAGCTTCCCGTTTCTTCTTTGCCTGCTGACTTCCATGTGTCAAGCTAACACATGCACTGAAGTCACAGTGTCACCTTCCCCAAATTTGGAGTTTCTCGTTTTTTTCTCTTTGAGCCTTATCTCAAGCATCCTGGATTGACTCCAGATTGTCCCCTTCCTTGTTTTTAGCAGCATTAAATATTTGAAAGGATAAAATAACTCAAATATCTCTCTATTAAAGGAACCACAAGGACCCTCTACTCTCCAGGAAACATGCCTGAAATGCCCAGGTTTTAGATGGGGCCCTCTACAATTTGTGTGATTAATCAATAAATACCAAACTACAGGCTTTTAGTATTTATCTAAAGTTGTCCACACATTCTTCACTTTAATGTATGAAGTTAGCTCAGAGTGAGCACTGCTTAAAAATAGCCCACCTGGCCACCTGCCTGCCTGCCTTTCAAAAAGGTATATTGAATACCTAGTGTATACCACACACTGGCAGCAATGAATGGTGCATTGGAAATTCTCAGCAAAGATTTGATTTTAGGAAGAAATAAACATTTATCTGACCAGTAGAAGTYTCAGCCATCTGGAGGGTGAGGTATTTTACTGAATATACTTGGAGTACTTTAAATTCTTTCTCCACACATGGTCTATTCTATATGGGGTACCTCTGTATTTTGTTTCATTGAGGGTTTCCCTTCTCTACTTGAAAGCTCATCTTTTCATATCATCTTTTAAGTAGATGATATGAAAAGATGAGCTTTTATATCATCATTTAACAGATGCATCCCTGCTTGCCCAGAGAGGGAGAATAATAAACTGCTTCTTTAGGATTTCATTGTAGCTCCCATGAAAGAGACGGTTGGTTCCCATTCATGCAGGGAGTAGTTATTCAGTTTGCACTGGGTTCCACAGCAGTGAATAAGCCAGATGTGGTTCTCAATCTCATGGTTATCCTGTCTGGGGGAGAGCTGAGACCATTTCTAGCAAATGAAGTAGTGTAAAAGTGGTTTCATTGGGGGAATAAGAGGGAATTGGGGGGGCCTAGGATAAGTGTGAACTAGGGATCAGAGACAGCTTTTTGGGTGGAGATGCATATAAGCCAGAGAGTTAGATAAACCCTATCAGCCCAGGTTTCAAGGGGAGCTCTTTGAAAAAAGGCACTTATGGGAAACTTAAATCTAAGAATAAGAGGAATAAGAGAGATATCTCAGTATTTGAGAACATCCTTCATATGGCTTCTATGACTTCTGATGTTTGGCATCAGGACAGAGTGCATGGGATGCTTTGGAGCAGGTGTGCATGAGCTCAGTGTTAACTGCCTCTTGAAGTTCACTCATTTTTATCTCTTTGCTGTTTTAGTCTCTTCTTCGGATCCTAGAGACCCCCAAAGGACGGGCTGCATTCAGAGTCTCCAGTGGGTTCAACGGGCTGCTGTCCCTGCTGTCTGATCTGGAGGGGTCTCTCCATGAGCCCCCGCTGCAGGCATGGGGGACTGTGACCCCCAGCCAGACACTGGAACTGGTGCTGCATACCCTCTGTGCTGTGTCTGCAGCACTGCACCTGGACCCTGTCAACAGTGACTTCTTCAGGAGGAATGGGCTTTTTGAGAAGCTGGCTGAGGACCTCTACTTGCTGGGCTGTTTTGGGGTCTTGGTCGAAGAAGGACCCTCTCGACACTCTTGGTCTGATACCAAGGCCAGGCCGTTTGCTGATTTCCTGAGTGCTGCCTTTTCCTCCCGCTGCCCACTCCCACCCAGGATTCAGAGATGCCTCCAGATCCTCAGTTTTTTGGACAGCATGGCCAGTGGTACCCTCCACCTGCGCAGGGACTTGAAGGACTCCCTGAGGGCTGGGCAAGAGTCAGTTGTGGATGTTCAGAAGGGAAACGCCATTAGCAACCTCCAAGGCAACTTCAAGTGGCTGGACCCAGAGGAGAGGTAGAACTTCAGTGCCTTTTGCCATGGAGTCATGAAAGTATCTCTGTCCCCCATTTGTTTCTCACTCAAACATCATGCGCAGGTGTAGTAGGTAGGAAGTCAGATAGAGTTGGGTGGGTGAGAATGTCATGTGACTTTTCTTTAAATCAAATTAGCTCTGACTCCAAGTTTCCCTATCCTTGAAGCTGGTATAAAATTTCGATCTAAGTCAGTTCAGGGTTGGAGGAGACTTGATTCATGTGAGAACAAGCAAGGCTTATGGGATGCCTGGAAGCCAAGGGCAGAACTCAGTGGAGACCTTCTCCTTTGGGATTTTTGTTCCTGGGGGTGTGGTGTTTAGGTCAGATCTCCCTGGGTTTGCCTGGCAGCCTGTGCCTTCTGAGGTCCTGTCTCCTCTCCAGAGCACTGCCAGGGGCTGAGGTGAAGTCCTTCAACTGGCAGGACATATACTGCATTGTGCATCCCAATCACAGAACTCAGCCTGTTCTTTCTGGCTGCTTCCACTCCCCCTAACAAATATAATTGCTCTTCTTACTTCCACAAGCCAGATCCTTCAACCAGCTCAAACTGGCAAAAAAAGCTTTTCCTTTAAATCTGTAAAACAGAATTCCACTAAAGAAAGGGAACCTGGCCCAGAACAATGGAGCCATCCATCTAAGACCTCTGAAACTGTGATCCCCAAATAAATTTTTCCTCCTGTAATTGTTCTTATCACATTTTTTGGTTATAGCAATTAAAAAGCTGACTATAACATGGGTCATACCTTTTACATTATATCTAAAATCTCTTTGCCTAACCAAAGGTCATGAAGATTTTTTCATTTTTTCACATATTTCCAAAAGATTTTTAGGTCTATAATCCATTTGAATTACTTTTTGCATAGGGTGTAAGGTTAGATAGAGATTCATTTTTGGTATATATGGATGTCTGATTTTTCCAAATTCCTTTGTTTAAAATATTATTATGCTCTTTTCACTGAGTTGTCTTTGTATCTTTGAAAAAAGTCAATTGGTCATATTTATGTAGTTCTTTTCTGGACTCTATTCCATTGATCTGTGTGTCCAGCCCTTCATCAATACCGTCTTGGTTAGTGTAGCTGTATAATAAATCATCAAATTAACAAATGTGAGTCCTCAAAGTTTATTCTTCCTTTTCAAATTGCTTTGAATTTTATGTCCTTTGCTTTTGGCTGYTCTGGAACCACATAAATGTTAATGATCAACTTGCTTCTATCTACAAAAATTCTGCTGAGATTTTTACTGAAATTACATTAAATCTATAGATCAATTTTGGGAGAATTGAAAATGGAACTATATTAAATCTTTCAATACATAAATGTAGTATATTTCTCTGTTTAGGTSTTTTGTTTCTTTCATCAAAGTCTGTAGTATTCAACGTAGAGAGCTCACACTTAAATTAGATTTATATCTGAGTAATCTTTAGTGGGGGACACTAATCTAAATGCTATTTAAAATGTTTTGTTTTCTTCATTTTTCATTTCTTTYATAAAGAAATATGATTAATTTTATATATCAACTAAACTTTATACGTATCCTGAGATTCTGCTAAATTCAATCATTAGTTCTACAAATTCATTTAGTTTTTTAAAAACCAGATTCTTTGGGATTTTCTATGAATAATCACAGTATCTGTGAGTAGTAGTGGTTTTATCTCTTCTTTCCAAACTGTATGTTTCAGCATTTTGTTGACTAAGAATGGAGAAAGTGAACATCTTTGACTAAATCTTAGGGAGAAAATCCTCAGTCTTTTGCCATCAAATATAATAATAACTGTTTTTTTTAAGTAAATGCCCATTGTCAGCTTATGAGCAATACCTTCTAATTGACTGAGAATTTTTGTCATGCACAGATTTTGAATCTTTCAAATGCTTTCTCTATATTAAATAATATGATCATATGATTTTACTTTAATTTATAAATGTGATAGATTACATTGACTGATTTTTGAATACTAAATCTGCCTTACATTTGAGGGATAAGCCAAATTGGCCAGTACTGTCTTATTTATTTTATATATAAATATAATGGATTTTCTAATACTTTTTTGGAGTATTTTTGCACCTATGTTCATTAGGGATATTAGAATGTAGTTTTCTTGTACTATCTTTTTCTGCTTTTGAAATCTGAGTAATTCTAATCTCATAAAATGAATTAGGAAATATTCCTTTCTCTTATAGTTTTTAAAATAAATTGCATAGAATTGGGGTTTTTTCTCTTTAAACTGTATGATAAAATTCACTAGTGAAAATATGCTAGGCCTAGAGTTTTCTTTGTGGAAAGGTTTTAAACTATGGATTCAGTTTATGTAATAGTTATAAATTATTCAAGTCATTTATTCTKTCTTGCTTTAGATTTGGTAGTTTGTGGCTTTGAAAGAGTTGATCCATTTCATCTAACTTGTAAAATTTATGTGCATAGTGATTTACAATATTTTCTTATTTTCCTTTTAACATGTGTGGGGTCTATACAGTATTCTTTCTTTCACTCTGATATTGATTTTTGGTGTCTTCTCTCTTTTTCTCTTTAGCTCAGCTAGTGATTCCCCAACTTTCAAAATGTTTTCAAAGAACCAGGTTATCTTCAGTTATTTTCTGTATTGTTTTTCATTTTCTAATTTTATTGATTTTTGCTCTTTATTTTTGCATTTCTTCTACTTGCATTTTTTTTTCTTTTAAAAAATAGTGTGTGAAGATGGAAGCTTCATTTTTTAAATTTGGGACTTTTTTCTTTTGTAATGTTTGCATTTTATCCTGTGAATTTTAGCAACATCCCACAAATAATTCAATGTATACTCTTTTTTGTTTAAGCTCAAAATATTTTAAAATTCTTCTTGAAACTTTTTATTTGACCCAAATTTTATTTGGAAATATGTTGTTTAATTTCAAGCACTTGAAAATTTTAAAGATGTCTTTCTATTATTTGTTTTTAACTCAATTCTGTGTGGTCTGAGAACATGCTTTGTGGATTTTATTTATTTGAAGTAGTCTGACATTTTTTTAATGCCTCAGCATATAGCATGTTTAACAAATGTATATTCTGCAATTGTTCAGTGGCATATCTGTAAACATCAATTACGTCACTTGGTTGATAACATCGTTCAGGCCTATAAATTTATTGATTTTCTCTTTGCCTTTTCTATCAATTATTGAGAAGAATGTTAAGATATCCAACTATAATTGGGTATTTGCCATCATGCTTTCAGTCATATAAGTTTTTCTTTGTGAATTTTGACTCTGTTGTGAAGTACCTGCCCATTTTGAATGGCTATGAATCTTTTAATCATTATGTGATATGAGTTGTTTATTGATGCTAGTTTTCCTCAATCTGAAACTTCTTTCTCTGATCTTAATAGAATTATACCAGCTTTTATTTATTTAATTATTTATTTTTTGCAGAGCTGGCAATGTAACCCAGGATCTCATATATGCTAGGGAAATGATCTACAACTGRGCTACATCCCTTGTCCTTTATTTATTTTTTGATTCGTGTTAGCCTGGTAGCAAATTTTCTATCCTTTTACTTTTAATCTACCTATATCATTATATATATATATATATATATATGTGTATGTATACATATCCATATACATTAATATATATATGTGTATATATATATATATATATATATACACACACACACATATACACATATACATATATGTATTGGGGAGGTTACCAGGGATTGAACTCAAGGACACTCAAATACTGAGCCACATCCGCAGCCCTACTTTGTGTTTTATTTAGAGAAAAGCTCTCATTGAGTTGTTTAGTGCCTCACCATTGCTGAGGCTGGCTTTGAACCGGTGATCCTCCTGTCTTGGCCTCTTGCAGATGGGATTATAGGCATGCGCCATCAAGACTGGCTATATCATTATATCTAATAATGGCCTATACTTTGATCTTTATTTTTCATATTATGACAATATCTATTGATTATTTAATATAATCATTTATGTGTTTTATTTTGGGCCTACCATTTTTGTTTTCTCTCCCCTGCCTGTTTTGTTCTTCTATTTTTCTTTTCTCTTGGTTCTTTTTTTTTGTGTGTGTGTGTGTGTGTGTGTGCATAGTTTGAATATATTCTGTATTTCCATTTGAATTCATGGACATTGATTTTTTTTTTACTAATCTTTCTTTGTCTAGTGTTTTTAGTGTTTGCAATAGGGATTAGAATATACACATTTTGGAAAGTCTAATTCAGGTGGATCATAGAAGGCTTACCACTATGCCATTCTTTTTATCCTTATCTAACATGAGCATTACATTTAATGTGTTACATTGAATACAATGTTTCTTTCAACAATTATATTTAATATGAAAAGAAAAAAGCAGTGTGTTATACTTACCCAAATATTTACCATTTCTGTTGCCGTTGCTCTTTTTTAATTTCTGGAGTACCAAGTTTCCATCTGTTATTATTTTCATACTACCATCTAAAGAACATTTAAAAATAGTTTTAGAGTGAGTCTGATGGCAAGAAATTCCCTTTGTTTTCCTACACCTGGGCATGTATTTATTTTGCCTTCATTCCTGAAGAGTATTTTTGCTGGGTATAGAATTAGTTCTGTGTGGTTTTTTTTTTGCAACATTTAAAAAACGTTGCTTCCCTGCCTTGCGTTTTCTCATGAGAAAAGTATACCATCATTCAAGTTGTTGTTCCCCTGTATGTGTTCCCCTGTGTGTTTTCCTCTGGTTGCTTTCAATTTTTTTTTCATCTTTTCAGGGCTCATCAATTTGACGGTGATATGCCTGAACATGAATTTCTTTGTTTATTTTTCTTGGTTTTTACTAAGTTTCTTGAATCTTTAAGGTTTTGTGTTTTACCACATGTGAAGAAAGAATGGGTAAAAACTTCTCAAACTTTTTTTTTCTTTTATATCAAACTCTTTCTTCTCTCCTTTGAGAATTCAATGACAGGAAATTTGGATAGTTTGGTAGTGTGACTCATTACCTTGAAACTCTTCATGTTTTAAAAAAATCTTCTTCTTTATAGTACAGTTTGAAAACGTGGATTCATCTATCTTCAAGTTCATGGAATTTCCTTTCTCATTTTATTCTCTACTGTCATTTCAGTGAGTTTTATAAAACTTCAGTYACTGTATTCTTCAATTTTTAAATTTATGTTTTATTCCTTTTTATTATTTGTTTCTTTGTTGGCTTTCTGTCTTTTCATTTGTTTCAAAAGGGTTAATTGCTACTTCTCGGACTTTGGTTAATAATAACTGTTTTAAAGATTTTCTCTGAAAATTTCAATGCCTGTGTCATCTCAACATTGACWTCTGTTGATTGCCTATTTTCATAAGAGATACTTAGATTTCCCTAGTTCATTTTATGTTGACCAATTTCAGGTTGATTATTTTGAATGTTACAAACTCTAGCTACTGCTGGCATTTTATGATGAATGTTGATTATTTTGTTTTAGAGGCAATAAACCTATTAGGTTGATTTCTACCCACCTTCTGTGGATCACAGTTCCAGTGTCAGATCAGTTTTCAAGGACTTTGCAAGGTGATTTGTACTTCTCAGTTGCCTTGTGCAATAGCCAGCCTTGAGCGGTGGTTTATCTCTAGTTATGGTGAGCTTCCAAAACTTGAGTATAGAGGTGAATGTACAACTGAGAGGTCATGCTTTCTTCATTACCCTCTACTTCATTCTCCATTTATTTTTCAGTGTAGTCACAGACATAGCTCATGAGTTCTATCAGGATTTTAATTGCTTTCAGGGATAGGGCATATCAAACTGTGCTTGCACCATTATGAAGGAATCCAGGAGCCCATGTGTGTATGTGCATGTTTGCTTGTGTGTGTGTGTGTGTGTGTGTGTGTGTGTGTGTGTATGAGTGTGTGTGTGTTTAATATAAAGTGAGAGCTTCTCAATTTCCCACATATTTGGAGAGGAATGAAGAAGGCCAGGAATCAACTTCCATTGAGCGTGAAACCCTGTGCCAGGCACTGTGGCTTAGTGTATAAGGGCATCATATTATTAGGAAGAATTTACCTCAGATGGATCATTCAAGGTCATTTAGGAAATTAAGTGGTAAATTGAGAATGTGGGTCGTGGTCTGGCTCAGAAAGAAAGATCCCTAATATTCTGTAAAATGGAGAAGAGATTATGTGCATTCTTATCTGATGTCCTGCTTTCCCCTCTCTGCAGGATGGATGAAGGTGATTCTGTCATCATGCACCCTGGGATGGTGTGCRTCATGGTGAAGCTGCTGCCTCGCTTGTACCATGAAGATCACCCACAGGTACCTATTGAAGAACACCAATATTTTGTCTTTGTCACATGGCTGATCTTTTATGCTCCTTCTGGCATGAAACTACTTTTCTTCTTTTTTCCTTCATCCTCAGTACCCTTGATTATCAGAGCCATCTTTCGGTGGTACCTTTTATARGGAGATATCAGTGTGTATTGGATACCTGACTCATTTGTGCCCAACCTTCCAAGGCCATTCAAAACATCTTGCACCTATTAGCAAAGTGATCGTCTAAACACAATAGGCAAGCAAAATATAACTGAAAATATTCTAACATTTATGAGGCAAGTCTCAGATGCTAAGTATAGCACTGGGCACTGGTGGGACCAGAAGTCCTTYCCTTTCTATGTATTTACCATCCTGTGGACGCTGACTGAGATACCAGCTCTGTGCTCTGTGTGGCACATGTAGGCCTAACTAGAAGGGCATAGGTTGCATCTATGGTGGGGATAAAAGTGGTGATAGTGCAGATGGAATAAATAAATGCACTCACAAATGAGTACACAATTACAAAATAGTGATAATTGATATTCAGAGGGGGAAACCAGGGTGCCGAGAGAGTTACAGAATGGAGGTGGGCCACAGACCTAATGTAATCTAGTTTGAACGAAAGGATGGAGGTCAGGGAAGCCATCTTTCAGATGGTGTAATGTATGTAGAGCTCTGAAAGATGAGCAGCCATTAATTAGGAAGGAAGGAGCTTGCTGCAGGGGGCAGGCATAGAATGGAGAGCTGAAAGTGTGGAAGATAGGGTGGGCAGAGGTAGGCTGCAGCCTTGCCGACAAAGTACAGTTTTATCCCCAGGATAAGAAGAAGCTTTTCTCAGATGAGTGAAGAGTGGCACTATATTAAATATCTCTGTATTAAAAATATGGCCATAGCTGTTTGATGGAGAATGGACTGGGCTGGGAGGAGTGGTGGGGAGGAGCAGAAGCTGTGTCTGTAGTGCAGGTAGTAATGTATGATGGAAGCTGGATCTGGGTGGTGTCTGTAAAAGGGGGTGAAGAAGGGACTCAAGAGACTTAGTCAGAGATTAGATCAGCCTCCAAAATGAATGGAATACGGGCTGTGGGAAGGTGAAGAGTCAAAGGTGACTCAAGTTTCTATCCTGACAGAACTACCAGTCCCATTGCAGAGAGGCGAACCAGCATGTGTGAATGCTGGAACAACAGAACAAAATGGAAGCTGAGGAAAGTACTCTTGATTTAAAAAGTGAATATCTTAAAAGTTCTGGGAAAGAGACTGGAAGAGTTGAGTAGGAAAAAGCACCACTTTGCATTTATTAGCAGCAGATGAAAAGAATTAATGGAGTGGGGGAGTCAGCATTTCCCAGGCACAATGCTAGACCTTTTCATCCTTTGTTTAATCCTCATAGCAGTTTTGTTGAGGACATTCTTGATTCCGTTTTAACCAGTAGGGAAATACAGGTTCAAATAGTTTAAATGACTTTTGAGGATTTCCAGTTTTTGGACCTGACATTAAACCTGACCTACCTCTTGGCAGTTTTTCAGAGGCCTRTGTTACCTCTAGGATGCAAAGAGAGGTCTTGCTTCGYTTTTCCCAGTAGTTACATATGAATCAGTATGTTTTGGGAAGAAATGACAACTACTTGTCATTATTAATCAGAGCCTGAAATTGACAGTGGCCTAGTAAGGGTATTGCAAGTCCTCTGAAATTAGTGAGAAAAGTGGAATAGAGGAGGAGAGATCTCAATGTGTAGGGACYAGTACTGTTTTCCACCTAGGAAAATCTGTATTTGGTGCAGGAGTAGAAAAAGGCCTAATCTGATTTCATATCTGTGAGTCCCTTGTTGACTGTACTTCTTGTTCTGGTTTCAGTTCCTCTGCTGGGGTGTGATGATATAGAGGTTATGAAACCAATGAATAGGGATGTACATGAAATGTATTTCACAGGTTTTCTAGAAAAGGAGTGGGCTTCGATAAAAAGTTAACAATAACCATGCCATTATAGTCATGAGACCTTTCAGCATAAGATTAAGATTATAATCCCATAAGATTATATTGCCTAGTGATGTCACAGCCATCTTAGTTTGTATAAGTAAACTGAATGATGTTCACATGGCAATGAAATTAGCTAACAGTGAATTTCTCAAAAATGTATCCTTATTTTTAAGCAACACATGACTGTATTTCTCATGATTCTGTGGATCAGCAGGGATGATTCTCTGTTCCGTGTGGGACTGACTGGGGCTCCATCACTCACAGAGCTGGCATCTCAGAGAGGCTGGCTCACATGGCAAGGGGCTGCTGGATCAGTCATTGACTCAAGCTTTCAGTAGGATCCCAGATTTCTTCTATGTAGCTTTCTCTGTGTCCCTCCAAGTGAACTCTCAGCAGGGCATACAGTAGTGTAGTAGTACTCTCAAGGACACAAAAACAAAAATTCTAGGCATTCTGAAGACTTAGACCTGTAAGACTTCCACAGCCTTCTGTTAGTGCGAGTCATAGTCTCAGCTTAGGCTCAATGTAAGGATATGTAAATCTCCCATACTGATGTGAAAGGTGACGTGTATATGGGAGAGGGGGACTTGTTGGGAGTCATCTTTGAGAACTTCTTTGGAGGTTTTAGCAGGGAAGCATAGCTACTCACATGCCTTTGACTGAAAACCGGTCCTCCTCGATTGAGGAAGGTGCCCTCTTTGATGGAGTGCACAGCTTCAGGAGGGACACACATGGAGTGGTAAGGGAGGAAAGGGACACCTGCATAGCCAACTAGATCAGCCAAATCAATCCTGACATCAGGTTCTTGAGGCTCAGGGACGTTATGTGACTTCTTAAGGTCATGCAGCTGGTGAGGGAAAGATCTGAAACTCAGCTCAGGCCCAAACTGAAAATGTGTTTTGTGAATGAGTTTGCAGCTCTGACAGAATGCAGGGCCATGCATTCTGGGTGTTTTGTCCTTCCAGGTACACTGGCCTTATTGTGAGGATATCTGACTTCCTTGGAGATATATATATATATATATATATATACATACATATATAAATAGTTTTTTTTGGTTATATATATGACAGCAGAATGCATTATAATTCATATTATACATATAGAACACAATTTTTCATATCTCTGGTTGTATACAAAGTACATTCACACCATTTGTGTCTTCATATATGTACTTAGCGTAATGATGTCCATCTCATTCCACCATCTTTTTTTACCTCCATGTGCCCTCCCTTCCCCTCCTAACCCTTTTCCCACCTAGAGTTCATCTAATCCTCTCATATTCTCCCTCCCAACCCCACTATGAATCAACCTCCTTATAGCAGAGAAAACATTCAGCATTTGGTTTTTTGGCCTTGGCTGTATTTTATACAATGCAATGTTRTTGCATTGAGAATGACCAAGCCAGTGGTTTGGATGGTCTTGGTAGTCAAACCAATGGATGCATTATGCAAAAATCCACTACAGTGATGACTGATTAATTGACTGAGTGATGGACAGTGACCTGTCCTGCTGTCTCTTCCATGCATAGAAACTTYGTGGGTAGGCTCAATGTTTTAGTCATTTTTGTGTCACTCTGACCAATATACCTGACCAGATCAACTTAGAGGAGAAGTTTATAGTGGGCTCATGATTCTGGAGGCTCATTGTTCTGAGCCTAGGGTGAGGCGGAGCATCATGGGCAAAGGACTCAGCAGGGATGAAGCAGCTGAACTTATGATGGTAGGAAAGTCATGAGATTTCTTAGGAAGTAGAGAGAGAGAGGAGGGAAGGTTCGGCAGGGCAGATACACCCTTCTAGGAAAGCCCCTAGTGACCAACTCTGACTATGCCCCACCTGTCTATYGTTACCACCCAGTCAGTCCCTTCAAACAAAGATGGACTGATTAGGTTACAATTCTCATAGTCCAGTCATTTTATCTCTGAACATTCCTGCATTAACAGAGGAGCTTTTTGGGGACACCTCATAACCAAACCAGAGCATTGGATCTCAGGTAAACTCCCACTGTGTGGGAAAGACCTCCTGCTCTTTGCACTTCCTATAATGGTAATTGGACAATTTAGGTATGCAAATAAGAATTCCATTTGGTGTGATGCTTCTTCTCTATTCCTGTCACAGTAAGTAATTTAGGAAAAATCTGATTCTTCCCCACTGTCTCTCAAATATGCAAATGAAATGTAGTGGTGCATTTTCTCAGATATTTTCTGCAGATGCCAAATCAGCAGCTATTAAAAGTTGGATAATTATAGTGATTAATTTCTGAAAGGAGAGGACACCTCCTAATAACAAATAGATTAGTAAATCAAATGAGAAATGAGACCACAAAAGAAAATGCTGAAACAAAACTGATTTCCCAGACCCCTGCAGATTTTAGTGCATGAAAAGGAACAAGGAGTCTCAGTAGATGGCAGTATTACTAAAAGGATGGAAAGTGAGTTCCGGCTAAACTCCTGTTGGGTCTGCTGGATGGTTCCTAACATCCTCTACTCTCTACCCTCTTTACATTATTCACATGCTCTTCCTCCTTTTTGGATGAGAAATGGATAGTTTTCCAAGTTGCATATGTCATGTTAGAGACCAGTAATTAAATAACCTTATGGTTTTTTGTGTTGTGGTTTTAATAGTGGCCACATTAAATTTGTTCCAGGCACAACCCAGAAGTGATTTTTTTTTCCCCCTTCAAAATTCTAGCACTGAAAGCTGCCCTTGGAAACAGATCATCCAGATGATTTTCTGTTTTTGGCATAATCATTCATATTAAAAATTGGGAGGTAGGAATTTTACGTGCAYGAGGAAACAGGAAATCCAGCTCAGTTTTCTTGGAGCTGACTTGGCCCCAGAGAAAAAGAACTAATTGGGAACTAGGGTGAGGCGGAGCATCTTTCTGTGTTCAGCAGCTACAAGAGTGTGGCAGTAAGGATGTGGTGTGGGCTGGAATTGTGACCRGTCTCAAGCACCACTTCACTTCTTACAGGGCTGTGGCTTTCCATCAGTTTTCAGCAGAGATGTTTACTTTTGCACATGACATCC